CTCACTCCAGTTCTTGAGGTCATCTAGTTCTTCCTCTGTGATAGCCTGGTCCTTCTAGCTATTAACGGTGCCTCTACAAACTTCAGTAGGGCTTTCTGCACACTCTGTACTGAGGTCATTAATAAAAATCGGATGGGAATGGGCTCAAGACTGACACTTCGGGAATTGCAGCAGCAGCCCAGTAGTTGTCTGGGGATATCTTTGCTTCATCCTGCAATTTCCTCACCTCAGGACTGCTGTAGAAAGCCACAGTTTGTAATTTCCCGTGTGGTTCCTTGCTAGTGCTTCATGAAGCACAGACTGTGACTGCCCCAATTCCTTCAGGAGTTTTCGTATCAGAGAAAGCTGCTGTGTTGGTTGTGTGTGATCCACTTTTGATGGGTTTTTTTAAATTTTCCTTCCGTTTACTATATTACTGCAGTATAGTAGCGTCAGTAATGAACCACTTCGTAGGATTTCTGAGCGCTAGGTACTGCACAAGCACTGAACAAAACCGATCCCTGCCCCAAGGAATACATTACAGCTTTATTCTTTCTTTATTTTTTTCTAAGGACTTGCAATGTGTTGAGTTCATAATGGGTCTGTCCTCCCTAGTGGTTTCACAGCTATGTTTCATGTCTTTGATTTTTCTGGTTTGATCCAGAGTTGCAGCTCTGGCTCTTAACTCCAATGCAGAGATTGTACATTTATGCACAGTTTGCAAATCTGGAAAATACACATTTAATGTTGATGTGAAAACCCAGCTGTGTCCCTTTCTAAATACACATGCTACAATCTAATGTACACATCAGTGAATTTCAGATCTTAAAAGTTCAGGAAATTTTAATTACTGATATCCTGCTAGTTCCCCTTTGCTCCTGTCCTGGAGGGTGAGGATCCAGCTCACCTCAACTCACTCAGTTCAGACTTCCGATCTCCCTGCTGGGGCAGTCTTCCTGCACCCTCTCCAGTGTAAGTCAAGAACTATTGCACTTGTAAAACTTGGAGGGGAGGAGGGAGAAGGGAAAAGTTTGGAGAGGTATCCCAAAAACCTAGGAAGAAATCACTGGTAGTCACTGCTGCCGGTACAGCTGCAACTTGGATAAAATACTGGCTGGTGTATGTCTGTGCACGTCTGTCCCTGGGAAAATCCTCCACAGGACCAAGACCATGGGTGCTAAATTCTGATTTTATTCACTGATTATTCAGCCTCAATTATTATTTACAGTAGGGGTTCCAGAACCCATCCTCAGTCCTTGTTCAGCTCTTCATTGCCAACAAGAGGATTTTTGCCTGGTGACTGAAGACAGCATGCGCCTTTAAGCCTAGGGAGAGTTGTCCCCAATGAAAGCCTTAGGACAGACTTCAGAGTAAACTAACCTAACCTGTGTGCGTTGTTCTTCTTTATAAACAATTGTAGTTTGGCCAACAACGATGTTCGGGCTCACATAGTAAGTGTCAGATCTCATTTTGTTGTGGAAGATGCAATCCTACAGGAAAGATTCAACTGCAGTTTATGGTAAAAATGTCTTTACTCTGTAAGAACATAGGTGGACAGCTCTGCTCATGGGAGCAAAACTTCCCAAACTGACTCTTCTCTCTTTCAGCCGTTACAAGGTTCACACCAACACTTGCAGTTTCAGTCAATGACTTTTGTTTTTCACTTGGTCTCTGTTTTAAACTTTCCTTAACAGGAGGGATTTAAAAAAAATGAAAAACACAGTACACATACAGACACAGATGAGTTTGTCTTAAGGCAGTCGAAGTGCTCATCCATAGGCAGGGGACTGATTAATGCGATGTTAGCGCTCAGTGCCGTGCTTCTCTGCTTTCATGACTTTCCTGATGCCAGCATGTGGCATTAGACTTGTGATAATGACTGGAAGGAAGAAGCATTTATTCTTGCGTAGTGGGGGGCTTTTCAATCTTGCAGACAAAGGCACAACAAGATCCAGCAACTGAAAGTTGGAAAAATTCAACCTTGAAATAAGACACAGTTTCCTAGCTGCAAGGAAAATTAAAGTTTGGAACAGCTTGGCGAGAGGAAATGGTGGAGTTGCCATTGCTTGGAGTAGAGACAAGATTTGCTATCTCTGAAAAGGGTTGCTTTAATCCAGCCTTTTGGAAGAGTTCTGTGATTTGTGTGTGCGGCAGGTCAGTTGAAAGGAGTATAGCAGTGCTGTCTGGTCTTGGTGGGTGAATTACTGGATGTGATTAAATGACCTTTCTGGTTTGGGTCAGTGAACTTCTATAATAAAAGGATTGGCTGCAACGTGGAGAGGGCTGAGAGATGAAGCAGTATCTTAGAGAAAATAAAAATGAACATTTGTCTTACTGTCATTTTGACTGTTAATAATTAAAGTGTTGCTATTTACCCACTGTGTGGTTAAAGCCTGCGCAAATGTTCATATCAAAGTATTTCAGTGGCACAAGAGGACTTTGATTCTAAGCAGCTCTCTGTTTTTCAGGATCTTGCTCTTTACAGTGTTGTCACTTTGCCATGTGTTCTTCATTAGAGCCCATTTTGTATCGATCCTCCCCTGGAAAGCGGTGGGAATGGAAGGTGCCTTCGACCACAGCAAAGTGCAGCATAACACACTGCTGCAAGTGTTACTATTTTTAGGTCTCAAGGGAAATCTGAAACACGGGTTATAATTGTATTTCCATTCTCTTAGCTTTCAACAGCAAACCTTAAAGGCTGTATTTAGATAGCCTGCTTTAAAGATCTTGAACAGAGTCCCAGGGAGAGAGAAATCTGAATTGTTCCATGAAATTTTGATTTCTAAGGTTCACCAAGTCTGAATACGTGCGAAATTTAGGGGATTTGAATGCAGCCTTAAAATACGTGTGTTTTTGCAACACAAACATCTATCCAACTCTCTTATTCCAAGGAGGTGCTCTCAAAATGTTCCTGCAGCTTTAATAGCGGTAGGTAAGATTTTCAGAAGTTGTGAGAAGCAGCTGAACTCTGCTGCCATTGAAACCGACAGAAGAGCCTTCTCTGTGCTTTGATGGCAAAAGGATTAGGTCAGTAGTGAGTGTTTTTAGAAGTTCAAGTTCAGTTGCTTCTGTATTCACAAGGATTAGAGCTTTGCAGTAAACAGTGATCACCTACGTAATCATAATTTACAGCAGACCAGAGCATTTGGCAGTGAAGTATCGGTACCTGAAGTTTCTTGAGAAGTGGCAGGGTTCACGTGTTCTGCTGCATCCCTCTCCTGGTGTGGATCGTGTTCAAAATTCACTAGATGGTCTTTGGTAAGGAATTGAATCTTCCTTTGCTTTTAGATGCACTGTCTCCAAAATGGGAATATATCTTGTGTTTCTAAAATCCATTCAGTTTCTCTTCCTGCTTTTCATGCATGGGAGCATCTGGCAAGCTAAAGAGAGCTCATGATGACAGCTGCTTCTCCAGAGCTCTGCTCCATGGAGGCACTGCAGTAGAAAGCTGAAGTTTCAAAAGAACTCCTTTACCTGGAGATTAAGTTCTTCTTACTATCTGGCTCCAACTGGAGGTGCCATGTGTTTGAAGGGGAAAGGGAATGGAGTTCAAATAAAGATCATCTTGTAGAGGCTCTTTCCACATGAGATGGTCTGGGTGGGTTGATGGTACAACTGTTGGGAAAAACAGCCAAGTAGATTCTGTCCCTTTAGGTGTTACTTGTCTTCACAACTGAAAAGTCCTCCCACCCGGTGGTATAACACATGAGCAATCTTACCTAGTTTTGTTTTGTGAGGCACCTGCAGGGTTTCCCTGCAGACACAGAGCACACTTCTCACACCCCTGCCTTTGGGGTTGTTCAGCCTGGAGAAGAGAAGGCTCCGGGGAGACCTTCCAGCACCTTCCAGTGCTGAAAGGGGGCTACAGGAGAGATGGGGGGGCTCTGGATCAGGGGGTGCAGGGACAGGACGAGGGGGAACGGTTTGAAGCTGAAAGCGGGGAGACTGACATGAGATATTAAGAAGAAATTCTTCCCTGTGCGGGGGGTGAGGCAGTGGCCCAGGTTGCCCAGAGAAGCTGTGGATGCCCCATCCCTGGAGGGGTTCAAGGCCAGGCTGGATGAGGCTTTGGGCAACCTGGGCTGGTGGGAGGTGTCCCTGCCCATGGCAGGGGTTGGAACTCAATGATCTTGAAGGTCCCTTACATCCCAAACATTCTAGGATTCTATGATTGTGTCCACAGTGAATAATAGGAGTGTGCTTGGCTGGGAGTGATACTTGGAAACGGCTTGGTCTGCTGGCCCGTGCGGTGTGAAGGTACCTGTTTATGTAGGGCCACATCCTGGCTGCAGGGCTGGACAGGACTCCAGGGCACCCAGTGCAGCTGGAACTCCTATCTAGAGCTCCCTTGGAGGAAAACAGGGACAATTTTCTGTGTTCGTGAGCGCTGTTTTCTGCAGTGTTCCTTTGGAAACATGGCTGGAAAAGGTGCTTCCCAGCTGGCCAGCTTCCACAGATCTCAGCAGGTGCAGTACTGCCCGCTCCACGTTCACTGCCAACACCATCAGTGCTGAGGATCTTGTGAGATTGCCATTGAATTCAAAGTTGGAGCCAAGACTAAGTGTTATTTGTTTCAGAGAAGAATTATGTGAACGGCACTGGAAAGGTTTCTAGGCAGTGTTGTAAGGAAAAATTTCAAACCAGTCAACAGAGCCATTGGATCTTTAGGACAAACCCTTTTCTTCCAGCTGTTCTACAGCCTGAATGCTTCAGCGCTAAGGAACTGAAAGGAAACTGGCTTTGATTTGTCATTGTCCATTGACATAACAAACCTAATAAGTAATACTGAATTAGATTATGAGTTTTACTAATAAAATTGATGGTATGAAAGCCAGTGGCTTTAAGAGCTGGAAGGAGAGCTAAGCAGGTGAGAGGAGTGCTCTGTCATTGTATCGGTGGGTTTGTGTTTACAGTTCATTAGCCCATGTTCAAAAATACCACGCTGCCAATTTGAATCACAGCTGGATTCATACAAATTTTGAGATTATCACTTGCTGAACAAAATCCTTCTTTTGCTTTAGCTTGCAGATTCGCTTGTGCCCTCGGAGATTAAGCCTGGTATTTCCTTAGCAACAGTTTCTGCGGTGTTGCATACTAAAGACAACAAGCACGTGCTGCAGGTACGTATAATGGGAAAGGGAGAAAAATATCCTTACACCGAGTTTCCTGCCATCTGGGACCCCAGCTGTTCTCATGAGGCAACCTCTCCAACAACTCCCTCCCCACTGGAGCAGAGTCCTTGTCAGATGCTTTGTCCTGGCATGTACAAGTGAGGAATTACACTTAGAGTGGGATGGAAATAAATCTCTCTACCCCTTTTTCATGGGCCGCGTGCCTGGCTAAGATAAAAGGGGAACTGAGATTATTCATGAAGAGAGGCTACAAATCGTCCTGCTGTCTTCCATAACCCGAACCCCAGGATCAGCCTCTCATGGACTTAGAACTGAGGGAGAGATGACCTAAAACATTAGGTGTGTGAAGGGGCTTCCTTAAGTTGCCCTGTTCCCCAAGGAGCAGATTGTACATCCTTGTGTAAGGGTGTACACTCTTTTCCTCCCAGCTGCTTTAGGCTGACGCTGCAATTCCTGGCGTTAGTGCTCTACAGAGGGAGCTGATGTCTGGTGGACGAGCCCAGCGGTGGATGCCCTGGTCACCTTTCTCCTTTGATGCATGAGCTGGGCTGGGCCCACCACACTTGGGAAGAGGGCCCAGCATGGTAGTGTCTTTAATGCAGGGACATAAAGATTGGCTGAGGATGTATATCGGTGCACAGCAGACAGTCTGTCTTACTTTTTCCAAGTCAGTCCCCTAGATACGCTAGGCAACACTGAACAAATTGATGTATTAAAGTGCAGTTGGTCTGAGGCTGCTTTTTCCTTTGTGGTGTTCATTTACTCCCTCTCTACTCTGATTCATGATAGAAAACAGACTTAGACCTAGGCTTAAAATGCCAGAGCGCTCACAAATGGATGGAGGTAAGGCAGCACAGTAGCATCTGTCCGTATTGGCTGAGCCTGGGACGTCTGGGAGTTACAGAAGCTTTGTGCAAACAAGCCCCAAAAGCTCAATCTATGAACGCAGAACCATGTGAGTGATTCATGCACAGGTAACACGATACGTGCACTTAGGCCTGCCAACTAAAGGGAAGGTGGTGGGTTTTGTAAAGCGACTCAAGTGGATCCCTGCTTGTGGAACTGGAGCCTGAGCAGGCGACATTTTTCTCCCAAGGATGAAAAAAACCCTTCCCTGGCTGTTGAAGGAAACACAGGGACATCGCAGCAGCAGGTTTAGACATGATGCTACATGATGGGAAAGACACGGGGTTGAGAGGAGCCCAGTCTGTCACTTGGAGTGTACAAGGCACTGGGGTAGCTTCAGGCGAATTCCCTGTGTGTTAAGCAGACACATCCCTGGCAAACGGTCTTGCCAAAATTTTGGAGAAATTTTCCCCAGCACCTTTTTCCCAGGAACTGACGTGATAGTTCACTGGGAAAGACCAGTCCTGACACTTCCCCAGCCTAACTAACTTGGCACAGGGCACGTGGACTTATTTCACACAATAATTTCCTCACTGTTCTTTTTATAGGAGCCTGGTTTTCATCTCCATGAAAAGGTCTTCCAGAAGTGCTCAGTTAACCCCACACATGCAGTGCTAGGTTAGCTACCGCTGCACGTGCTGACCCTGCCTCCCCCCCGCTAGCAGGGGTCTTGGGGATGAGTTCAGGCAGATATAACTTTCTGAAGCAGCACAAAATTATAGCCAGATCACACTCCAGTGATTTTTCAGGCACTGCAGCATCTCTCACACCTCTGTGTCTGTATCCAAGTTCTTCCTAAGGGCTCACTTTTCAGAGGCCAGTGAGAAATAAATTACCCATTTTTCTCATTCCCTGAGTAGTTACTTGCTCTGAATTTGACCATTTTTTGACCTGTTGCATCTTTCAGAGTGTGATTTTCAAGGCATTGACTTCTTTAGGGCATGATTCCTAGAAAATATTGCAGAGTACTTGAATGCTAAAATAGAAAGCTTCAGTCTTGAATTGAGTCAGCCAGGCCTTTTAAGATGACAGAAATTTGAACAGAACTGAATTTGACAGAAGTTTTAAGATGACAGAAATTTGAACTAAAACTACTAATTTATTTCTGTAAATGGTGGCTTGTGTGTGCAGAGCTGCGGTGGAACCTGAGGCTGGGTTTCTCCTCTCCCCTTCAGCACTGCAATGTTCCCCTCTAGTCACAGAAAACAAAATCAGTATTTCTTTTCTGTCTCGTGTACTTGTTATTCCAACTAAATTGTAATAAGCTGATGTGATTCACTGCATTACTCTGCACCTTCTCATCCATTAGCTCCCTCCAAAGCCTCCACAGCCTCCCGCCAGCAAGAAGAGAAAGCGAGTGAGCGATGATGTGCCAGAGTGTAAACCTTTGAAGCCCTTGCTGAGCGGCTCCATTCCTGTGGACCAGTTTGTGCAGACGCTTGAGAAGGTATTAAGTCTTTGGTGGCAAGTGAGGTTCAAGCTGATTTGTACTGATCTCAGAAATGTGTTGCTTTGCTAGCAGAGAGGAAAAATTATTTTTGTGTGGCTTGAAATGGAAAGAGGCTAATGAGCTAGCAAAGCACTTCAGGGAATGTGTGTCCCTGCACTGAATGTGGAGGGAATAGTTCCCTGTGGAGGCATGTCCTGAGACAGGGGCTTCATGTCAGTCATGTCCTCCTGGTTTCCAGTGGAAGCAGAGCTTTTGGGGTCACTATGAGTGGGTGACTTTCCCTTGTGTAACTTCTGGACTCATTGGCTGATTTCCAATAAATTTGGACAGTGGGGAGGAGGTCTCAAAGGTATGAATTCCTGCAGGTTTTGTGACAATAACATGACTGAATGAAGAGGAGAACCTGGAAATGTCTCCACTGATAGAGAAGGGCCTTCTGAGGAGCTGCAGGAGAGGGGGCTTGGTGGATTGTGTCGTGGTTTTAAACCTGGCTGGCAGCAAAACATCACACAGCCACTCGCTCACCCTCCCCTGGGTGAGGGAGAGAATTAAAGGGGTGAAGGGAAAAGAAACTTGTAGGTTATGATAATAACAATTTAATAGTTAAACTACAATAAAATTGAAAATAATAATGATAATAATAATAGTAATAATAATATACAAATACACAAAAGAGTGATACATGGTGCAACTGCTCAACACCCAGTGACCAAGGTGCAGCCCATTCCCAGCTAATGATCTCAGAGCAGATAGAGTCCCAAAACCACAATCCCGGAAAATAAATAAGAGCCTGAGAGTCCAAGAGTCTGAGAGCCGACTGAGAGAGCGTAAGAGAGCTGAACCAGAGAGAGAGAGAACTTCCAGACAGATCCTGATCTATACACTGGCCATGGGATGGAACAGACCGTCGGCCAGTTTGGGTCTCAGTCCCAAACCTGAGGTGGAATCCTGGGCTGGTCACTGGTGCTGTGCTCCCTCCCAGCTCCTCCTGCCCCTGCAGACACGGGCACAGCAGAGACGCTGGAAAGTCCTTGACTGTCCTGGCAGCAGCTCTGCCCATCAGTGTGTGATCAGCTTCTCCTCAGCACAAACCCAAACCAGCCTCACACCAGCTGCTGGGAAGAAAGTGAACTCTGTCCCAGCCCAAACCAGGACAGATTGCCTGTGAGGAAGTTTGCCCTGAGGTTCAGTAGCTCTCCACTCACTATCATCTTCTTTGAGGCAGTAATGCCAGTGGATGATCATTTCTGTAGTTAAAGGAGCCATTTATCCTCTGTCTCAACATTTTGCAATTGCAGTGACCTGGTGCAGTGGAAAATATTGCCTTTAACCTCCCTGTTCTGTACTTTATCCATCTGTATGATGAGGGTCATATTTAGCTTACCCTATGGGCGTTTCCTCTGCAAATCCACAGAGCTAGGATAGCTGCAATGACACGCTGTATTTTCTCCCATATCCCCCTCCCTGTGCCCTGGTCTTTCATCTCTGCCTACTTTCCTGAGCTGTAGTAACCTCTCTCTCTTTTACTCCCTCCCCAACGCTACATCTAGCATGGTTTCAGTGACGTGAAGGTGGAGGACACCGCCAAGGGCCACATCGTCCTCCTCCAGGAGGCAGAAACCCTCATTCAGATTGAGGAGGACTCCACACACATCATCTGCGACAACGATGAACCTCTGAGGGTGAAACTGCGTGACCTGGTTCTCAAATTCCTGCAGAAATTTTAGCTCGTGGACATCGTGCTGCTCTGCAAGGAGACACACCAGAGCGAAGAGCTTTCCAGAGGATGCATCCAGGGAGAGACAGAATTTCCTGATTCAGAGAGACCAGAAACCACCTTTCTTTTCATAGAGAAGCAAGGAAGTATTTTTTAATATCTATATATATTTTTTAAATTTTATTTTTAATGAGTTTTTGAATACTTTTTGGACAGGGTTCTTGTGCTGTAAAATTGAGAGTTGGAATCTTATAGGAGATACAAACTGCAGAGTACATAGAGTGTATATTTACCAGGTCAGGGTGGAATTGTGTGCGGATGCAGACATTTCTCTGTGTGACCTTCTCAGCAATGTATGACCCAGTCCTTTACCTGAGAAAACTCCTCTAAGAATATTGAAACAATGGCCTCAGATATTAGGAGATTTCTTTTTCTCCCCACTGCTTCTTCCTGGTCACCAGATCCAATTGCCTGGCTGTCCTTCCATTGTGCATCAGGGTTTCAGCGGCATGAAGAGGAATGAGAAAGCTGGTAAGGCAAAGATTATAAAAATAAAAATCAAACAAGAGGGCGATGCTGGACATGAAGAATAGCTTTGAAGCAGCAAGAGCCTGGCCATTCTCTGCAAAAGCGGTGGGATTTTGGAAAGGTTACATGCTTTAGCAATGTAGGGTGTTCTTGATGCTGCACCCTCAGCTGGTACGACCAGATTTGTCTGCCTGGCTCTAGGCTCTTCTCTGAGACAAGACTGGTTTCTCCTGGGTCCCTCCATCATCAGTGGAGGAGGTAGCTCGGGGAGATACTTTCAAAAATCCGTGAAGTAGTTCACCTCCTAGTGCTCATGAAAAAGCTTTGAGATTTAAGTGCCTCTTGTTTCTACCTTCCAAAAACCTGTTCATTCAGTCCCCCACCATCCCCAATCCTGGTTGAAATACTGTGTCGTTTATACAAAGCCATCTGTACTGCAGACCTGGGGAGGTTTTTCACTCCCAAAATCATATATTTGGGGCCTAAACTTTAGTTAATAGTATCGCTTTTCAAAGCAACCTACTTCTCAGATTTACTGCTGTTTGTTTTTTATTGGATTGTTTTGTATTTATTTGGTGTTAAAAATAAAAAGCACAGTAAGACTGCCAAGGAGGAAGCCCATTCTGTGGTTTATAGAAGCATCTGCATGCTTGCTCCACATCCGCCTGCGCGTGTGTGTACACATTTGTAAAATATAACGACTCCTCCAGTTTATAGCTTTGGGGAGATTAAGGCAGTGGGAGAACAGCTCTGTAATAAAAACTATTTGCTGTTGCAGTTTCCACATCACGTTTCGTACACATTAAGGATCTCTGCTCGATTGGATGTACAGACTGCATCCATACCTTCGCTTTGTGTGTATGTCACGGGCGGGAGAGAAATAGTGTCATTAATGTGATAAAAACCTTGTCGCAGCAGCATTAATCTTCATAAGAGTTTACAACGTTTGCAGTAGCTCAGCTTCTTTATCACCACTCGAAAATAGAATAAAAGAATTGGATATATTTCACCTTGTAATTAAATCTCCAAAAAGATTATTCTTAACACGCAAAAGCCACGTGATAAACTGCTGAGCTGAGCAGGGAGAGGGAAGAGTGCGCCTCGTAACACCAGAGTCCTTGAGAGCGGCTTTCTCCTTGTTCCCTCGACCAGCTCCAGCACTGGTCCCTGTGCTCCAGAACCTTCATTTTGTGAATGTACTAATTTGCATTTATAATTACAGGGAACTTCACGCATTTCTTTAAGAAGCCAGACCCGAGGCTGCGCGTTGGTGCGTGTCGCATCCACGTTGGCTGAGCGCGGGCAGTCCAGCAGCATGCCAGCGGGTGGACATGCAGGTAGAACTTTCTGCTTCGTGAAGGTTGTGCTCGAGCAACCGAGTGTTAGAAATCCAAGTCCGTCTGCTGCCGTGGAGGACCCACAGGGACCTTGCGGGGAGCCCAGAGAAGCTGTGGATGCCCCATCCCTGGAGGGGGTCAAGGCCAGGCTGGATGAGGCTTTGGGCAACCTGGGCTGGTGGGAGGTGTCCCTGCCCATGGCAGGGGGTTGGAACTGGATGGGCTTTAAGGTCCCTTCCCACCCAAACCATCCTGGGATTCTATGACCCAAGGAGTCAGAAGCATTGAAGCCCAGCTACAAAGAGTCACGCCCTCAGCTGGGATAGCACCGAGCTGGAGCTGCCTGTAGTCAAGGGGATTCCCCTGAGCCAGAACCCAAGGGCTGAACTAGCTGGGTGCTGAGACACACGGGGACATTCCTATGACATTGCTGTGGCTCTGTGACATGGGGCCCTGCAGTAACAGGGCTGTGGATTCGCTGGCAGAAAGGATTTAATGGAGCTGTGTGTTTCTTTGACACGGCAGGTGTGCCAGGGCAGGAAGGAGAGAGAGAGGTTTGCTGTCTTTGCTGAAGTTTCGCAGTCCAACGCAGTCCTGTCAGGGGTGAATAACCTCCAGCGCGGCAGAAAGTCAGGTTAGACAGAGAGGCTGCGCCGATCTCACAGCATTAGGGAAATATTTAAATGTGAAGAGCCAGACAGCCTGCATTGGCCACAAGAGCTGCTCCACAGGAGTGAGAATTGGGCCAAATAAACCCCGGTGCTCTGACCCCCATGGAAATCTCACAGTGCTGCCCAACTTGACAGAATTAGAAAGACCCAGCCTAGTCCTGCCTCTGATGGATGCTTCTGGACACGTTCCTGGCTTAGTGCCTCACTTTCCCCTTGTGTCTAAACAGAAATCCTCCTTTGCAGGCTGCCTTGAGACTCAGAGCTGAACGCTGCTGCGGCAGAAGTTGTGTTAAATGCAGAGTGGTTTGAAGGTAATTTGGGAGCTGGGAGTGGGCTGCTGTGCTGATTAACAGGATTAGAAATGTACGCGAGCTCCACGGTTAGTTTTCAGCTTGGTTCACTGCGAAAGGTAACGGATGCAATTGAGCAGTCACACCAAAATCCTTACTTGAGGTGCAAAGCTCTGACCAGTAACGGCCACACTGATATTTCATCAGGTCATCTGCTACCTAATGGCTTTCCAAAGGTTTTCCCACCTTCCTGGGGAAAAACAAAATCCATTTTAAAGTTTTTACATTTTTCTTCTTGTCATTTTGGGCAGGAAAACTTCTTACTGCTCCAGTCCAGTATCTAAAAACTGATTCATGTCCTTTAAACGGCAAGGTTGTGCCTGCTGGAAAAATAAACTTATTGGGGGGGATTCTTTAATGAAAAAACTTGATTAAACTAGGAAAAAATCAGTGCTTGTTCATTCTGCACAGAGGAAGAAAACTAAAGAGCATTTCTTCAGGCTGGGTCAGTCGTGCAAAGGTAACCATGGCAGCCCAGGAGAGCTGCGATGGAGGAGGTGGGGTATGACGGACGACAAATACATTTTAACCAGGGATGTGCACTTAATGGACAAACAACAGCAAAGCTCCTTGGTTTCACTCTCCTTCTTCCAGGAAGAAAAAAAAAACAATCCCCTTGGCCACCGTGTGATGGTCATTGTGCCACGGCCACCCCCAGTCCCTGTGACCACGTCTGACACGGGAGTCTCACCTCGGTGCTGCGCTTCACCGGCCGCTCTACAGCTCCCCCGATGAAACACAAATAATCTCGTTTGCAGCTGGGCTGCGTCTCCAGCAGCCGCTTTGCAGGGCTGCACCTTGGCCCCTGGCAAGTGATTAATTCTCAGCGCGCTTCCCAACCTGCACGCCTCCGCACTGCGGCCACGGCTGCACCGCTGGGCTGGGAATAACGGGGAGAAAAGGTTAAAAGCAGCCTTCTGCACTTGGCTGGCTCTTATGGAACAGATCTTCCTGGTTGGAGAGGAGTATATTGTGTTTTCTTTATATTAATGTCAGCCTTAATGAAAACAACTGGAGCAAGTCATTTAACTCCAGGTTCATGCTGTCCCCACCATGCCCAGAGGGCAGTCAGTGGCCCTGATGCCACATGGTCCCATTGTGGCTGCCCCATCCCTGGAGGGGTTCAAGGCCAGGCTGGATGATGCTTTGAGCAACCTGGGCTCATGGAAGGTGTCCCTGCCTTGATTAATGCAAAAAATTCCATTATTCCCCATCTTTTCTCTCCCTTGGCCCTGTAACTGTCCCTGAGTGTCCCCTACGACACGTTCCTCTCCTTGTCCCTGAGGGCTGATGGCTCCATCTCGAGCGTGGTGAGATGGTGAGAAAACCTCTAACAACCAGCTGCTTCCTACTGCAACAATGACCAAAAATGTGACCACTGGCCTCCCTCGCGGTAGAACTTTTTATTATCATTATTTTCTTGATATGAATGGGTGCTCAGTAACAACAAAGGTGAGGGGTGGAGCAGCGCAGCCCCGTGCAGCGTGGTGCTACAGGAAGAAGCCCAACCATGTCCAAAGACATCCCACCTTGGATTCGTTTTGATTTTTATTATTATCATGTGCAGAGTGAGAGCTTAAAAACCAGCTACGCAAGAGAGCGGGGCCCTCTGCAGAGAACCGCCTGCACGAAGAGACTCCGAAAGGCTTTAAATCCAAGGTGGTAGGAACCAGTGTTACACCTCCTTTGTCTTTTTTTTATTCTTGAAGGGAAAAGGAGAAAAAAAATAACACCAACGTTGATTTTCTGCCACAGGACTTGCTGCATCCCCAGGGCAGAGCTGGGCTCCAGGGAGGCGTACACGGGATGGTGGCGCCTGATCTAGGCTTGTTCTTTTTTTTTTTAATGACATGAAATTACTTTTAGTGGGTTAAAACGAACGGTGACAATTATCCTTCCCTTGCAGGCACAACACTGAGCGCAGCACAGGTCTGTTGTTAATCGCCTTGCTAATAACTGCTCATTTCCCTCTGACTTTTTTAATATTTACTATTTTGAGCCTCTAAATTACCGTGTGCTGCCGTCGGCCCGCCGCACGCCTTCCCTGGTTGTCTGCAGGTGCTGTCTGGCAGCTTTCCCGATTCTCTCTTTACCTCTCTGCCGCCGTTTGGTCGCACCCTGAGCAAAACCCAGCGTCACGCAGGGGATTTAAGCCAAGCCCAGGCTCCCAATGCCCTTAATAACACGCTTTAACTTTTGGTGAGCCCTGAGGCGCTCAGGCAGTTGGACTAGGGGGTCCTGGTAGGTCCCTTCCAACTGAAATTATTCTGTTCTGTTCTGTCCTGATTCTGCTCTATTTCCAACTGAAATTATTCTGTTCTGTTCTGATTCTGCTCTACTCCAGTTTCATATTTGCTCTGCAAATTAGGGGGATTTATCCCCTCCTCCTTGCCCCAGTGTCTGTTGCCCCAT